AATAACAAATTTTCCCCCCCCAAAAATATAGTTTTTAAAACTTGTGGGTTTGGGGGAAAAAAAGTTAAACCTTTTTTTTATTTTTTTTTGAAAATTTCCCCCCAAAACCATTAAATTTCCCCAAATTGGTTATTTCTTTTTATCCCTTTCCAGAAACCCCCCCTATTATTCCCTAAATGGGCCCATTTTTCCCTTTTTTTTTTTTTTTTTTTTTTTTTTTTTTTTATTTTCTTTTTTAATTTTTATGGAGACGGGAGGTTTATCCTTTCACGCCATTTACCCCCCCTGTTCCCACACGCCCCAGGAGACCCCCCTCTTTGGAAAGGTTGCGGTTTGGGGCGGGCGATCCTTCAGCCTTCAACATGGGCCAAGCTTCCCCGCCCCCTTCCCCCGGGATTTCCGGCCCCCAATTATTCCCTCCCCCACACACTGCCCCCCCCCTTTCCCCAGACCCCCCCCAATCCCCCCCCGAGTTTAGCCACCCATTTTTTTTTGGGGGGGAACCTACAAAAAGGGGCCCGCCCCCGCCCACCCAACCCCAATATTTTGGCCCCCACGGCCCCCCCTCTTTTAAAGTTTTTTTGTTTTTTTTTTTTTGGTTATTTTTTTTTTTTTTTAAGTAGAGCCCCGGGGGGGGGGTTTTTTTTTTTTTTTTTTTTTTTTCCCCACCCTTGTGTTTTTTTTTTAGCCCAGGGAATGGTCCCCCCCCCCCCCCCCCCCTCGATCATTCCCCCCCTGCCTTCGGTGATTTCCCCCGCCCCCCCCGTTCACACCTCCCGGGGGGGCCCCTCCCCCCGAGTGCCTGGGGGAATTTTCTTTTTTTAACCCCAGTGGCCCTTGGGGAAAAGACCCCCCCACCGCCGCACCCCCGGAGCCCCCCAAATAGAGCCCCCCATTTCCCCCTTTTTTTAAAATTTTTACCCCAAAACCTTTAAATTTTACCCCAATTATATTTTTTTTTTTTTTTTTGGTTTTTTGATTTTTGGGGAAATGAAAAAATATGAAATTTTTTTTTTGATTTTTTCAATCCCTTTTTAAGCCAAAAAAAAACAAAAACCAAAATCTTTTTTACCATTCCCCCCAACAATGGGAGGTGGGGGTAAAAATTATTCCCCCCCCCAACAAGTTTTTTGAAATTTGGTTAAAAATTTCCCCACCTGTTGCGGAAAAAATGTTAAAAGAAAATTTTTTGGGGAAAAAAACAATTTTTAAAATTTATTTTTTTTTTTTCCCTTTTTTTTTTTTTTTACAGAAGCCCTTTTTTTTCCACCCCTTGCCCCCCTTTTTTCTCCAATTCCCTTTTTCCCCTCCACCTTTTAAATTAAAAATTTTACAGTTTTTTTTTTTATTTGGTCCAAAAAATTTTGCTGGTTTTTTTAAAAAGTGAAAAAAACAGGAAGCCCCCCCCCACTCTTTTTTTTGGGGAGACCCCAGGCCCGGGGGGATTTGGGATTTTTTTCCAAAAACAAAGGTCAAGGAGGAAAAATCCGAGGAAAAAAAAACCCCCAAATCCCCCCCTTGGCTTAAAAAACCCCACCCGGTTTGAAAAAAACCCGTCCTCCCCTACCTAAAAAAATTTAAACCAAAAAAAGTTTTAGCCCCCCCCCAGGCCCCAGTGTTCGCCGGGCCCCCCCCCAACCCTTGGGTTAGTTTTCCCCAAAAAGAGCCCCCTTTGCCCTTGGGGTGGGAAAGGGCCTTGGGAGGTAGCCGGAAGGAAAAAAAAACCCCCCCACCCCTTTTGGGAAAAAAAAAATCCCCCCCCGAAGAGGCCCCCCCCAAAAAGAGGGCCCTTTTAATAGGTGGGGGAGCCCCCCCCCCCCCAAGGAAACTTTCCCCCCCCGCGGCCACTTTTTCACCCCCCTTCCCCAGCCCCCTGTTGGGGGGGGGGCAAAAAACAAGGGGGGGGGAGAGACCTTCCCTTCAAAAAAAAAAAAAAAAAAAAAAAAAACCACCCACCCACCAACAACAAAAAAAACAACCAAGGCAAGCTTCGGGGGACCCAGAAGGGCCAAAAAAAATGAAAAAGGGCGGTTTAAAGTGAAAGGAGCTAAATGGGGGGAAAATGCAAAAATTATGCCCCCTTTCCCCCCCCCCCCTAAGTTTTTTTTTTTTTTTTCCCTTTCCAGTTTGGTTTTTTTTTTCCCCTTGGAATGGCCTTTTTTTTTTTTGGGGGGGGAAATTTCTTTTTTAAAAAAAAAAAAAAAAAAAAAAAAAAAGAAAAACCAAGCCCCCCAACCAAACCAAAAAAAAGACCCCCAATTTTTTTTTTTTCCCCCCCTTTTCTTGTTTTTTTAAACCCAATTAAAAGCCCACTAAGAAAAATTTGGGTTAAAAAAATTTTTTGGGGTTATTTTTTTTTTTTTTTCCCAAAAACAAGAAAGGTGCTTTTAGTGGGGGGTTAAAAAACCCCCTTGTCGTTTTTTTTGGAATTTAAAAAATTCCCCTGTGGGAAAGATTTAAAAACCTTTGAAAACCCTTTAAGAAGAATTTAAAATGTCCCCTTTTGGTTTTTTTTTTTTCCCCCCCCTAAGCCCCAAAAACCAAAAGGTAAAAAAAGCCCCCGTTTTGGGGGGGTTTGGGGGCCCCCTCCCCATAAGGGGGGTGGTAAAAACGTTTTTTTTTGGAAATTTGGATTGGATGGCAAAACCCAAAAAAGAAAAGGGAAAGGGGAAAAATTTTTTTGAACCTCCAAAAATGGGGGTAAAAAAATTTTAATTAAAGCCCCCCCCCTTTTTCCAAAATACAAAGTGGGAAAAGGTTGGGGATTTTTTATTGACCCCTTTTTTTTTAAAAAAAATTACTCCCAAAAATTGGTTTGCTTTTTTTACCACTGGGGAAAAGGTGGTAAAATGGTAAATCCCTTCCCCCCCCTTTTTTTTTTTATATTTTTTTGGGGTTGAAATAAAAGCCCAAAAAAGCCCCCCCCCCCCCTTTTAAGAAAAATCAGACCCCGTGCGGGGTCCCTTTTTTTACCATAAGAAAAACCTTTTTTAAATCATCCCCCAGGAATAATGAAAAAAAGGGTGGGAAAAGGAAAAAAATTTGGCCCCAAATCCTCACCCCCTTTTCCCCCCCTTTCCAACCAACAACAAAACCGGAAAAAAAAAGGAGGAAAAGGAAAAACAGGGGAGGAAGGGGGATTGGCCCCCATCTTTCCCCCCACTTCCATAATTTCCCCCCCCCCTGGGATTTTTGAATTTACGTTCCCGTTTATGTAAGACCACAAAAAAAAAGTCCTGAATTTTTTTCCCCCCCCTTTGCTTTTTTTGCTTTTTATTTCAACCCCAAATATTAAAGGGAAAAGGAAATACCATAACACCCTTTTTTTTCCCAGTGGGTAGCTTTTTTTTTTTTTAAAAAACCCATGAGTAAATTTTTTTTTTTTTAAAAGTCATTATCCAAAAAACATTTTTTTTTTCCCCCAACTTAAATTGAAAGGGGCCCTATTTAAAAAATTAACCCCCCAATCTGGTTTTCAAAATTCCTGCCTTTCCTTGCTGGGGGGCCCATCATTCCATTCCCCAAAACCCTACCAAACTCTTGTAAAAAATGGGGAGAACAAAACCCCCCCAAACGGGTTTTTTTAACTGTTGCTTTAGGGAACCCCAAAAAACCAAAAAGGGAACAATTTTTTTTAAAATTTTCCCTTTTTTTTCCCCCCCCTTTTTAAGTTTTCCCCCCAGTTTTTTTTAATCCTGCCACCCAGAATTTTTTTTTATTTCCCCCCCCCAAACGACCCAACAAGGGGTTAAACATAAGCCCCAACCCTTCACCCTTTTTGTTGAAAAAAAAAAAAAATACAAATTTAACCAAATTTTCCTTAGATATGCCCTTTTATTTGTTAAAACAAAAGAAAAAATGTTTCCTTTTTTTTGTTTTTTGTTTTGCCTGGTTTTTTTTTTTTTTTTTTTTTTTTTTTTTTTTTTTTTTTTTTTTTTTTTTTTTTTTTAATCAAGCCATTTCCAAAGAAAACAAAACCTGGACGGAAAAAAACTAAGAAGCCATAATTTGCAAATTCCCCAATAGCTTTTCCCTTTTTTTCTTTTTAACTCTTCATGCCCCTATCTTTGTTATCAAACTTTCCCTATGTTGGTTGGTGGTGTGGTTGGGGTTTTTTTTTTTTTTTTTTTTTTTTTTTTTTTTTTTTTTTGAGGCGGAAAGTCCCTCTCCCCTGTTTTTTTGCCCAGGGCTTTTGGAAGTTGCAGTTGCCGCGAATCTTTTTGCTTTCCAACTATTTTAGCCCTTTTCTTTTGCCTCTCGGATTTTTCAGGTGGTTTTTTTTTTTTTTTTTCTTTTCCCTTAACCTTTTCCAGCCTTCAACC